CCTTGTTGGCTCTACCTTCAGAATGGATCTGGAATCTGGCGACTTCTTGCCACATCCTTGCTAGCTCCCCGGTCCAAGCCTTGAGTGCTTCTCCTGCTGGTGCCTCTGCCATCGTCCTTGGCTCCCGCCCTCATTCTGTTCTTAACTCAGCCGCTAAAGTGATTCTGTGCAAACACAGGCCAGATGCCACTCCTCTGCCCAGGACTCTCGAAGGCTTCCCACAGTTCTTCAAATGCCAGCCGGTGCTACAGGATGTGACTTCTCACTGCGTCTGAACTCACCCGCTACCCTCCCCGCTCATGGCCCCAGCCACAGGCCCTCTCACTGCTCCTTAAGCCCCGGGCACGCTTCTGCTACAGGCCTGTGCACTTCTGTTCCTTCTGCCTGGAACACCCACGGTTCCTTCGGGTCTTCAGTCGCCGCCTCGGGGAGCCCTCCCTGACTACCTTATTTAAGATGACAGTCCTGGGTACCCTCTGTTCCTACTTTTATTGCCATCTGACAAACCAGATGTTTTGTTTCTATGCGTGTCTGTTTCCCATCACTAGAATGTCAGCTCTGCCAAGGCATGGGGTGTTGTCCCTTTTGGCCACTGGATTCCCAGTGCCCAGCTTCCTGCCCAGGACTGTTTGTTGAATGAATAAGTGATTCCATAGAAACACATGAGCGATCTTCCATTCTTGTCCAACCATGTGCTTCACTAAGCCTTTCTCTTCCTAACACGGTGGTTTTAGAACTTAGGCGCAGTTGCAGGTCCTGGCTCTTTATCAGAGAGCAGGTGTGGTCTCCGGAAGCCCCAGACCTGCCTGCATCTCCCAGGAGCCCCTGCTCTGGCCGGGAGGACATGGTCTCAGGCACGGCGGGCACCGTCCCCAGGCCTCAGCCCTCCAAGCCCTCTTGCTCAGACACAAGGGCCAAAGCTTCCCTAAAGGAAGGAGTCTGTTTTGACTTGGAACCCGGCCTTCCCTTCATTTAAAAAAAATATATATTTTTTTAATTGATTTTTTACAGAGGAAGGGAGAGGGATAGAGAGTTAGAAACATCGATGGGGGAGAAACACGGATCAGCTGCCTCCTGCACACCCCCCACTGGGATGTGCACACAACCAAGGCACATGCCCTTGATCGGAATCGAACCCGGGACCTTTCAGTCCACAGGCCGATGCTCTAGCCACTGAGCCAAACCAGTTTCGGCTCCCTTCGTTTTTTTTGTTTTTTTTGTTTTGTTTTGTTTTTTTAATAATCTGGGATAAGAACCGCCTCTTCCTCCACCCCAAGAGGTTCCGTGTACCAGAGCTGGAGCCATATCAAACACCCCTTGGGTCCCCAGGAGCTTTACCGGCCGGTGCCGGGCTTGCTGGAGGGTGTGGGGCTGCAGCCCGCTTCACGCCAAACACAGGCACATTGTTAATGCATCAGGGGGAGCCGCGCTGTGGAAAAGGCCTGGGTGTGGAAAGGAGAGGCTCTGGTTTTTCAAAGATCGTTTGCCAGATCCTACTGATGTCATTTACTTGCTGCTCCCGGGCCAGCCCTTTAGAAACAGGGATCTTCTGAGCGGCCGTGCTCGGCCCCGGGCGCCGGGTCCAGAGGGAGCGCTGCTAGAAGGGCGTCTGGGAGCCCAGCCGGCTCGGCGGCTCCCTGGCTCCTCGCGGCCAGACGGTCCTGCCGCCCCAGGGGTCTGGGGGCTGCTGGGAGGGTGGGAGGGTGAGTGACAGCCAGACTCTGAGGCCAGAGCAGGTGGGGGTCAGAATCCAGCTGGGTCCTTGCCGCGGGGTGATCCGGGCGCGCCTCCCTTCCTCGTGTCCTTACGTGTCCCTGGTCGGCATAGCACCCGCTCCCGCTCCCAGAGTGACTGCGGAGTAAGCGGGGCCACTCTAATGCTCCCCCCCATCCGTCAGCACCTGCTAGACACCCACCTCAGGCCCTTGGCTTCATCCTGATGCAAGGGCAAACCCACGACAATGGACACCGGGAGATGACAAATCCCACCACGCACCCGAGGGCCACCCTTCCCTATGACCTTGCTTCAAAAAGGAACAATTTGCCTGGAGGTGTGGCTCAATGGTTGAGCAGCGACCGATGAACCAGAGGTCATGGGTGGATTCATGCCTGGATTTGGGGCTTGATCTCCAATGAGGGGCATGCAGGAGGCAGCCAGTCCATGATTCTCTCATCTTTGGTGTTTCTATCTCTCTCTCCCTCTCCCTTCCTCTCTGAAATCAATAAAAGCATATATTTTTAAAAGAGAAATAATTTATATGTATTTAATAAAAATATATTTACATGGTAATTAATGCATATATTCTACCCCCCCCCCCCCCCCTCCAAAGACTGGCCGATGGTCTCCAGCCCCCGGCATTGCTCCGGCAGGAGCTGGGGCTGCTGGGACTGGGCCAGGTGTGCCCAGTTGCCGGCGGGCCACGCTCACCGCAGGTGAGTCACTTGGTCTGAATCACGCTAGTGGGGCTGGAACAGCGACCTGGCACATGGAAAGCTACCTCCTAGGGCCGAATCCTAGAGAGCGCTTCTCAGGGGAGTGACCGGTAAGAAAAGGGGTGTCCTGACCACAGGGTGTGCTCCCTTTGGGTTTATCTCTACATTTCCACACGTGGGGGGGAGGGGGTTGGGGGGAGAGAGGTTGTGCACGGGTGGGGAGAGTGGGAGAGGGCGCAGGCGGGAGGGAGGAGAGAGGGTGGGGGAGGAGGAGGGCTGGGGCGGGGTTGTTGGAGGAGGAGGATCTTAGAGGGGTGGTCACCCTGAGGCTGTTTCCAAAGGGAATTAGGCCTGGGTTTGGGGTGGGATGGGGTAAGGATGGAGGTGAAAGGAAAAGTAAGTACATCTGGAAAAATGGTTTACATTTGGGTGTGACTCCCATTTCGGCAATTGTGTATTCTCGTATAAGTAAGGAAAAAATGTTAAACGTGAAGAAAGATGCACTATGTGGAAGGCTTTGATGAGGGCCTGAGGGCTCCGTATCTTTGTTGACTGCACACTGACGTGCACCACTAATCCAGTGCTTAGTTAGCACCGGCTGCCTCACCGCCTCTCGCCTGGGCCTCTCGCTTCTAGGTCGCTGGGCCCGCTTCCTGGTTGTCTTGTTTTTGGGGTGGCCCTTCCCCAGTGAGGGCTGGGTGGGGCCGGAGCAGTTGCTCTCAGGATGTTGCTATAAAACTGTCTGTTGAGAATCTCAAGTTTTTTTCTTTTTTTTTTTTTCTTTAATAGAATGATTTAATTTTTAAGTGGCTAACATTTATATAGCACTTTATCGTTTACAAAGCATTTTATGTACATTTTTAACCTGAGTCTCACAACCACATAGGGAAGGTAAGTTTTGGTATTGCTACTATGGTATCTGTTAGTGAGCAAAGGCTCAGAGAGATTCAGAGACTGGCCAGAGATCACACAGCCCCGTCAGAGGCAGAGCCCAAGTTTGTGAGATCCTCGTGGGGTAGCTCCTGACGTGTTTATTGTGTTTACAAGCCTGTTGCAATCAGATCATCTCATCGGGCTTTCGAACAGCCTAGAGTGGATTGTATCACCTTTCTTTCTTTCTTTTTTTTTTTTTTTTTTTTAATATATTTTATTGATTTTATACAGAGAGGAAGGGAGAGAGATAGAGTTAGAAACATCGATGAGAGAGAGTCATTGATCAGCTGCCTCTTGCACACCCCCTACTGGGGATATGCCCGCAACCAAGGTACATGCCCTTGACCGGAATCCAACCCGGGACCCTTCAGTCCCCAAGCCGACACCCTATCCATTGAGCCAAACCGGTCCCGGCTGTATCACCTTTCTTATAGGCTAATTAAGAAAGGCCCCTAAAGTCAAGTAGGGAGAGTGGCAGGACATAGCTCCAATGTCTCTTTGCTCTCTGTTTCCTTCCAAGTGTTGCCCCAAAGTTTGTCCACACGATGAGTAAGGTGGTGTGAGTGTGTGTGTGTGTGTGTGTGTGTGTGTGTGTGTAGTTGTCTTACTGGAAATAAAGGAAAACGTTCCATTAATTATTGACCCCAGGGCAACACTCATTTCACAGCTCAGTTCAGAGAACTGGCGAGTCCCTAGCCTCAGGCGTAAAAATGAGGGAATAAAGCCCCAAATAAGTGCAGTGCCCAGCCCCCTCCATTCCAGGACCATCTGCTCTGTGCCCTCTGTCCCCACACAGCCGGCCGGGCCTTCCTCCCTGACACTCTCCTTGGGACCCGGGGGGCTCATCTTTCCCCCCAATGCCAGTCCTGAGCCTCGTTTGGATCTCTCTAAACACCTGGGCCTGCCTCTTCCCCATTCTTTCTGGGAGAGAGACCTTAGTTGACGTTAGGGGCTGGGTGGGCAGACGTCAGTCCAGATCGGCATGAGCGGTCAATGCTCTGGGTCCCTCGCTTCCTAACAACAATAAACTCCCACTGGCTGGGGGTGCTGTCACTGTCTGCCACCTGGAGCTGGTCCTGGGCAGATGGTATGTGGCTCTGAGGGACTGTGTCCGAGAAGGGCTGGGTGCTGGTGGGGGTGGCAGGCAGGTAGACACAAGGATGCTGAAGACTTTCCCTTCCTCTCCTGCTGCTGGGCCTGCTCTGCCTGCTGCAGAGAGTCCACTCCAGCCAGGCCCCCCAGGGAGCAGCTGTCACCCCTGCTCCCAGGCGTTAGCACATCTCACCTGGACACCTGCTCTTCGCACGCCTGCCCAGGGCAGCAGCCTGGGGGAGGGGAGCTTGAGATGGAGTGTGTACACTCCATGAAGCAAAGAGGACTTGGCCCTGGCGTGCTGAGAGGGATGCCCTCTGCCTTCCCACCTTGACCAAGTCCCCTCAGCGCTTTGGTCTCCTTCAGTGTCATGTCCCCCATCACCTCCCAACACCTCTCACTTGTCAAGAAGCACAAAGCCATCCCCAGAGATGAGATTAAAGGAGGAAATGGGGTTTTTAATCCCCTCTCCTCAATTCCTAGTTGTATTAAAAAAAAAAAAAAGAATGATGAGCATCAGACAGTTAGTAAAAAGCAACTCACCCCTGCTCCATCTGTGGGACACGGTGGCCTGAGCATCGTAACACAGCAGCAGCAGCAGCAGTGTCCTCCAGCACATCTTCTCCTCCAGGCAGGTGAGGGGTCGCCTCAAACCCAGGGGGACCCCAGGAGCTACAGGTGTGCCCGTCCCGGTGCTCCCGGGAGCCGGCACCGTTCTTCCCACCTTTCCCTCTCCTAAAGAGCCGACGCCCTCTCCTGCCTCAGAGGGTGGAGGCAGAGGCTGCCTCCTGGGGGCGAGGGCGGGGGACCTGTCTGTCTGACTCTCCCTGGGATTGGGGGACTGGGCGGCCACAGAGAGACTCTGTTTTTGAGCACATCTGGAGTGACTCACGGGGCATGTGATCTCCTTGGCAGTGGGCTGGACAAATATAAATCTGCACTTGAGTTCCATGTGTTGGATGCGCCCACTGGAATTTTTCTTTAACAAACAGACTCGTGGAATTTGTTAGAGAGCCCGGCGAAGAGCTGGCTGCTGTCCCTGTCCGCACACATACCAGAGCCCGGGCGCAGGCTGCAGTGGGAGGCGGCAGGCTGCTCCCAGACGCGGGGCTGAGCTGGGCTGCAGAGCCCAGAGTTGCCTTGAGGACAGCAAAGTCACTGAACTGTCTGGGCTGAGTGTCACGTCCTTCCCTGGAGCTAGACCTGGAGATGTTGGCACCTTCAGCCAGAGCCAGAGCCATTCGCCAGGGCCTGCAGGGATGGGAGTTGGCAGGTTGTGGGGAGCAGAGTGGAGAGGTGCCGGGGTCATGCATAGGTGCTGTATGTGCAGGGAATGGTCCAGGGGCTCATGAGTGACCCCTTTCTCCCTTTGCATTCATGACACCCTGCTTTCTGGGCTGTGTCTAGACCTAGGACCAAACCACTTTGATTCTCCCAAGCAAAATGGTAGTGTTTTTCCAAGATAATATTTTTTTGGTATTTCTTTAATTAATGAATTAACTATTTTGTATTGAGATATAATTGACATATAACAAGTTTAAGGTGTGCAATGTGTTTTTTGATACGCATATATATTTGCAATGTGCTTGCCAGTGTGGTGTTAGCGAACACCTGACACATCACAAGATTGTCTTCTTTCTTGTGGCAGCAACATTTAAGATCGATGTTCATTATCAAAGCACCGCCATAGACACCTTGGTTTTGTCCACTTCCTTGCCCTGTGTGAAATCGCAGATGTGTGATGCTACAGCTTGAAGATGGGGAATCTTGGGGGTTTCCAGCCTGTGGAGGTACTGCCCAGCGTGACCAGGCCACTCCTCTTTTATTGGTACAAGAAGTTGCTTGAAAAAAGAGTGACTGGCCCGGCCATCATGGCTCAGTGGTTAAGTGTTGACCTATGAACCAGGAGGTTACAGTTTGATTCCCGGTCAGGGCACATGCCTGGGTTGCGGGCTTGATCCCCGTTGGGGGGTGTGCAGGGGGCAGCTGATCAATGATTCTCTCTCATCACTGATGTTTCTGTCTCTCTCTCCCTCTCCCTTCCTCTCTGTGACTATAAAATTTGAAAACCATTGATCTCAGTAATATTAATAACTAGAGACCTGTAGGGTGCCTCTGCCTGGCCTGAGCTCTCTTGCAATCCTGGATCCCTTGGGGGATCTTGGAGAGCTGGTTTTGGCCCAATCTCTGCAGACCAGGCTGCAGGACCCTACTGATGCACAAATCTGTGCACTGGGCTTCTAGTATGCATATAAGATCTTTGGTTAATCTCTTCTCACCTTCCCCGCTCACCCCTTCCCTCTGAGATTCATCAGTCTGTTCAATATATCCTTGCCTGTGTATTGAGCGTCTGCTCCCTAGTGATCAGTGCACATCATAGCTACCAGTTGAAGAGTCAAATGGTTGGACACTTAGCATATTAGCCATATATATATATATATATATATAAAATGGGTGTTAATTTTTCCAAGCTCTGTGCTCAGCGCTCTCCTTTGTTAAGATTTAATACACCAAGCTCTAAGATCAGCACAGGACAATACTTTCCAGTTGAAGTATAACATGAGCAAATGTAATTTAAAATCTTCTAGTAGCCATGTTAAAAAGAGTAAAAGGCAACAAGTAAATGAATTGTAATAATATATTTTATTCAAACCAACATATCCAAAATATTATAATTTCTCCTAGTGATCTGTTTTCGTATTAAAGATATATTGTTTATTCTTTTCCTTTTTTTTTTTTTTAATGCTAAGTCTTTGAAATTCAGGGTGCATTTCACCTAGAGCACAGCTCAGTTCAGACCAGCCACTTTCTAAGTACTTACTCAATAGCTACATGTGGCCAGTGGCTACTGCAGGGCTGGAAGGTGACAGGGCAGGCTCTGAAGCCAGACTGCTTGCCTGTCTTGCATCCTGGCCCTACCTCTTACCAGCTGTGAGATCTTGGCAGAATTCCTTAATCACTTGTTGCCTCGATTTCCCTTAACTAGAGAATGTGGATAATAATAGTTTCTTCTTCATAGGGTCGTTGTGAGGAATCAGTGAATTCACATGTATAAAGTGCTGAGGACTACTAGTATGCCTGGCACATACCTGTATGCTACATACACAGGAAGAGAAAGGCTCAGAGGGGCTAAATAATCTGCCCAAGGTCTCCCAGCTAGTAAGTGATGGAGCTGGGCTTTTAACCCACGCAGACCTGCCTCGAAGCTTTACGTTGGGAACTGCTTAGTGGAGTGCTGGCAAACCAGTTCTGGAGGGGCAAGGGGAGCCCTGATTTGTAGCATTTGCCAATGTTCCTGGTGAAAATACTCCCGCCATGGCTGATTTCATTCTACTTGCAAACTTGGTGAATAATTTAACCATCAGTTCTCCGGAAGCCACTCCCCTTACTCCTACTGGCTCTGATGACTCCTCTGCCTCTGTTGTGTTCTCTTTTTGTAGTTCCTTTTATAAAAATGATCTTTAAACATTTTTATTCTTCTTATTTTTTCCCCAGTTTCATTGAAATATAATTGACATATAACATATTGATTTGATACATGATATATATTGTGCAATGATTACTACAGTAAGTTTAGCTAAGATTCATCACCTCACATAGTTACACATGTTTTTCTTGTAATGAGAACTTTTAAATTCTACTCTCTTAGCAACTTCCACATATACAATACGGTATTGTTACCTATACTCACCGTGCTGTTCATTACACCCACAGAAGTTATTAATCTTATAACTCCAAGTTTATATCCTTTCACCACCTTTACCCATTTCCCCCATAACCACCTAGCTGATCCCTGTTTTTATGAGTTTGTTGTTTTATGGGTTCTACATGTAAGTGAGGTCATACAGTGTTCATCTTTCTCTTCTCACTTATTTCACTTAGCATAATGTCCTCCAGGTTCATGCAGGTTGCTATTAATGCAAAATTTCCTTCTTTTTTATGACTGAATAATATTCCAGTGTCTGTATATGTGTGTGTATATATTTATCACATTTTCCTTATTCATTCATCCATTGCCAGACGCTTAAGTTGCTCCCATATGTTCGCTATTATAAACAATGCTGCAATAAACATGAGGTGTCTACACAGGTGTCTCTTCAGGACAGTGATTTTGATTCCTTTAAATATATACCCAGAAGTGGAATTGCTGGATCGTATGATAGTTCTATTTTTAATTTTTTGAAGGACCTCCATACTGTTTTCCATAGTGGGTGCACCAATCTGCATCCTCACCAGCAGTGCCCAAGCGTTCCCTTTCTCCTCATTTTCGCCAATACTTATCTCTTGTCATTTTGATGATAGTCATTCCAACAGATGTGAGGCGATACTTCATTTTGGCTTTGATTTGCATTTCCCTGATGATGACTGATGTTGGACATCTTTTCACGAACCTGTTGGCCATTTGCACATCTTCTTCAGAAAAATGTCTATTCAGCTTCTCTTCCCATTCTTTAAACCAGATTGTATTTTTGCTATTGGGTCATATGAGGTCTTCATATGTTTTAGATATTAATTTCTTTCAGATATGATTTGCAAACATTTTCTCCCATTCTGTAGGTGGCCTTTTCATTTTATTGTCTTTGCTGTGCTGTGTACTTCTTGTTTAAACCTGTAAGGAGCTGAAACCAGTTTGGCTCAGTGGATAGAGCATTGGCCTGCGGACTGAAAGGTCTCAGGTTTGATTCCGGTCAAGGGCATGTACCTTTTTTTTTTTTTTTTTTTTTTAAATATATTTTATTGATTTTTTACAGAGAGAAAGAGAGAGGGATAGAGAGTTAGATAAATCGATGAGAATCATTGACCAGCTGCCTCTTGCACACCCCTCACTGGGGATGTGCCCACATCTAAGAAACATGCCCTTGACCGGAATCGAACCTGGGACCTTTCAGTCTGCAGGCTGACGCTCTATCCACTGAACCAAACCGGTTTTGGCAAGGGCATGTACCTTGGTTGTGGGCACATCCCCAGTGAGGGGTGTGCAAGAGGCAGCTGGTCGATGATTTTCTCTCATCGATGTTTCTAACTCTTTATCCCTCTTCCTCTCTGTAAAAAATCAAAAAATATATTAAAAAAAAATAAACCCGCAAGGATTGCCCAGAGGACCTAGCATGTGCCTGAGTGCCCTGTAGGTGCCCACGGAACATGTGTTGATTGGTGCTGGAGCTGAGAAAGCTCCCAGTTCCCCGCACTTTTGCCAGAACCCCAGTAAGTGAAGGAGCTGAGAGGGGAAGATGGACCTGTCCCTGGGGAAACCTGGACCAGAAATCACAGCCTTGGCCCCAGTCTTGGACTCTTTCATCTGCAGGCTCAAGTCATCAAACCGTCACCCACTGCATACTAAGCTGGATGCAGACTATCATCCTATTTGGGCCGGGAACAACTGTGTTTGTAACTAATTTCATTTCATAAGAGGATAAGCCAGGCTGTCTCTCCCACCACTGCAGCTTGGCAGCTAGAGGCAAATGTCTACCGTTCTCAAGGAGTCTTGGGAAACTCTGGTCTGCTACACTGATTTTTTTTTCTTTTTTCTTTCTCTCTCTATGTTTTTCTTGTTCTTGCTGAAATTCTATGCACTTAAATGGAGAACGCTATCTTTTGTAACAGATCATAGTAAAATCACGACGGTGGAGCTTTCCAGATCTATTGATTATTTAAAGAATACTTTAGGGGGGACATGCTACTTAAGGCAACAGTTTTCAAGCTCATTTTCACCTCTGAACTCCCACTGCGCCTACGTGCATATCTCTCATCAGCAAAAATCATTTTCCAGTTATGTCTACCATTTACTGAGTTTTGACCTTACTTTATTTCATTCCATTTTCATGGCAGTTTTGTTCAGGAGGTTCTATAGTAGAGTCCATGTTGCATCTGGCCGACTGAAGCTTAGAAAAGATAACTAACTACTATTGGGTAAATGATAAACACGCCCATAGACTGCCTGCAGGGGCTGAG